CTAGTAGGTAGATAAGCACTCTATTATAAGCAGCACCAACACCCAAACACCTACCTAGTAGGTAGATAAGCACTCTATTATAAGCAGCACCAACACCCAAACACCTACCTAGTAGGTAGATAAGCACTCTATTATAAGCAGCACCAACAATCTCTATATGTGTTATGAGAACGAGGTCTAATTCCGTTTGAGTTTATATTCCTAAATTCAATTCTTTAAGTAAGCATAACTAGAAAAAGTATACTTTTATCACAAAATGACACTCGCGCCTTTATTTTAGGCAATACGTACTGACAAACATTTTCTTTGCTTAATAATAATAGAAATTTCAAAGATGTTTTGTTTGTTTCAGAGGAAAACTCTGTATATTAAAATCATATTTATTAATTTCATTTTATTTAAAGTTACCACACTAAATATTTTGGATTTTGACCTTTTACAAAACCGTCATGATTTTTGTATGATTAAATTGATTTTCATTCGTTCGGATAACATTTTCAACCTGGATCCTGTCAGTTCAACACACCCAACCAAATTTGAAAATCATCAGTTGTAACAAGCACGAAATACATTAACAATACTATAAATTTTTAAAATATTTCTATTTCTATTGTGGACTTGGTTATAAACCACGTTTTCAGGGCACTATCAATGTTTTAAAATAGTTCAAAAAGCGTAGATTCATCTAATAATTCATTGTTTAAAATAGTTCAAAAAGCGTAGATTCATCTAATAATTCATTGTTTAAAATAGTTCAAAAAGAGTAGATTCATCTAATAATTCATTGTTTAAAATAGTTCAAAAAGCGTAGATTCATCTAATAATTCATTGTTTAAAATAGTCCAAAAAGCGTAGATTCATCTAATAATTCATTGTTTAAAATAGTTCAAAAAGCGTAGATTCATCTAATAATTAATTGTTTAAAATAGTTCAAAAAGCGTAGATTCATCTAATAATTCATTGTTTAAAATAGTTCAAAAAGCGTAGATTCATCTAATAATTAATTGTTTAAAATAGTTCAAAAAGCGTAGATTCATCTAATAATTCATTGTTTAAAATTTGCTTTAAAAATTAAAACAAAATGGTGAATTTAGTTGCTATTTTGTATGGCGTAGAATATTTCATTTCTGGTCCCCCAGTGGCTCAGCAGAAAGTCTCTGGACTTAAACGCTGAACATTGATTTTCGATACTCGCGGCGGGTCATTGCGTAGCTTCCGGTGCTTAACAATAAAAGAAAAAAAAAATTCATTTCTGAAGTTTCTACTCGTGGCTAAGCGGTGAGCTTAAGGCCTAAAAGCTTATGACGCTAAAACTCGGGGCTCAATCTCTGCGGCGTGCGCATTGTTCGTGTGTGTGTGTGTGTGTATGTATGTGTAAATAATTGCCTAACCTGCATTTACTTAGAGAGGTTCTTTATTTTCAATTTACCGTCTAAAGACATCCAAAGAGGCAGGATAGAATGCAATATTAATACACATTAATACTTGCTCTAGAAGTAGGTTTTCCTTCAATAGCACCAAAAAAATGGTATCTTTAAATCATGAGAGGCATGGCCAGGTGGTTAAGGCGCTCGACTCGCAATCTGAGGGTCGCGGGTTCGAATCCCCGTCACACCGAACATGCTCGCCCTTTCAGCCGTGGGGGCTTTATAATGTGACGGTCAATCCCACTATTCGTTGGTAAAAGAGTAGCCCAAGAGTTGGCGGTGGGTGGTGATGACTAGCTGCCTTCCCTCTAGTCTTACATTGCTAAATTAGGGACGGCTAGCGCATATAGCCATAGTGTAGCTTTGCGCGAAATTCAAAACAAACAAACAAACAAATCACGAGAGCGGGGTTATTGCAAATACAATTCCGTAGGATAGCTAAAATGTTTGTCAGTGTCTTCACAGAGTGGTAAATTGTTTTGCATGCTTTTCTAAGAACCAACAAACAAACAAACGTATGTGTTTTACAATTTTCTTTAGATGGAGAAGCTGTATCATTTTTAAGGGTTGCGTGAATCTGTTATTCTTTCATCAGGCGATTTTTAAAAGTTTTTTTTTATTCACGAAGTTAGTTTTGCACGTTTTTCACGTCACTTGCTAAATAAATACATAAACTTTACGTTTTAAAAATTATAAATACGACCTCGGTTGTTTACTCATTATCTGCTTCTAGCTGCCCCAATCAGCTGTCAATGCCCGTCTGTCCTGTGCCCTTCTCACACAATCACTGTAGCTAGACTGCAGCTTCTCCGCGACATCTGTGACCCACTTTCTACGCGGTCAACCTCTCTTTCTTCAGTTTGACATCTTGCCCTCTATCAAAGTTATTGAACTCACATTTGTTCTGATAATATGTCCAAAATACTGATATTTTCTCTTACGTATGTCTGCTTTTAGTGTACGCTTTGTTTTGGCCATTTCCAGTATTTCCTCTTTTATTTTATACTCTGTATATAATACTTTCAAAATTTTTTTAAGCATCCACAAAGCTTCTATTTCATTCTAGTTATTTGGTTAGTATTCAAGTATCTGCAGCTTACAGGAAAATGGATTGTATATAAAATTTTATAAGTTTCTTATTTGTCTCTAACCTAATGTTTTGTGTGGTTAATACATCTTTCATTTGGGATGAAATCTGCTCTTTCAATTTCTATCCATCTCTTGACTTCTGCCTCACATTTATCATCTTCAGTTATTAGTTGCCCCACGTAGACAAACTTGTTCTAGTGTGTGACCATATGATGTGACCATCGACTTTGATGTTGACTCAACATCTTTCCTGACAACCATGTTTATATTAATGCTCAACCCATACTCTAAACGTCTCCTACTCACCAAGTTCGTTATTCTTTGTAATGCTTCCTCTGATTCTGTCAGTATTCACGAATTCATCAAATTACACGTCAGCAATTATTCCACGATTAAACCAGAACAAACGAATTCATCAAATTACACGTCAGCAACTATTCCACAATTAAACCAGAACAAATACGCCGAGTTACACAATTACGTTTGAAATTTGAATAATTTAGAATTCAGTGTTGCCTTTTAAAGTTGATAAGAAAAGTAGTAACATCTGCGTTCGTGAGAGAAATTCCTTTCTTATATTTGTCTTCTTGTAGTTTAGCTGTCAATAGCTTTACACTATGTTATTTCTGTTTTTTTAGGTTACCGCCACCTCCATCTGCTTAATAAAACTGGAGAACTTTTAAGAAAAGCAACCCTCTTTATTCACATAGCAGTAACAAGACATGGAAGGCCCAGGGTGAGACTTAAAAAAATCATTGCAGTTCATGTATTCTGAGATATACAAGTACAGATTGGCACAACTGAAAAGTAGTGCCCTTAGTAATAAGTAAGTGAAACATGAAACGTGGGATTTGACGTGCATTTCTTTAGTTGGTTGAAACATCCGATAGATAGGCTTAAGTACCTGCTTGAATACCGTTCAGTTTCAGTGTTTCGCTTGTTTAGAAAGATTTAAACTACCTTATGAGTATAGATATATGTGTGTGTGTGTGGGTGTAATCATCATATATATATATATATAAAGTCCACGAGAATGATAATATCCTTAAATTTTACCTTTTCGGAAATCCCCCGCTCTAATTGTACTCATATTTTCTGTTTAGATAGTCGCTTGCCTTTAGAATGGTATAATACAGTATCGTGGTCACAGAAGGTATGTTTTATAAACGGTAGTTTCATTTTCTTCTCTTCAATCTTTTAATATTTAAAAGTAATATCTATTTTTACTGTGTTATGAAAACTTTTGTACATCTGTACCAACAACATGTTTTAGGATAAAAAGTGTCATATTTCAGTTATAATTTTCAAGATATATATATATACACGTATATAATTTCCAGAATCATTTGAAAAATACATAAATATTAAGTAAATCGAATTTGTTTACTTTATAAAATAGCTAAAATTGAGAATTTGTTTCGGTAAAATATTCATTTAGAACCATTTCGCTGTCTGTTAAAGTTTTTATTAATTTTTTACTTCTCTGGTAATAAACAAAACATTGTATTTTTTTTCTACACAAAAGACAAAGTCTAAAATAGAACATAGTAAACTGTCAGTACTGTATATCACAGGGTTCTCAACAGTCTCAGTATGGGATTTTAGATCGTTTGTTTATTTGTAATCAAGCACAAAGCTACACCATGGGCTATCTGTGCCCTGCCCACCACGGGTATCGAAACCCGGATTCTAGTGTTGACATACCGCTGTGCCACTGGGGGCCGAGGATTGTAGAACTCCGGAAATGACTTTCTAGCTTTATTTCCTATAGGTTACTGCTTACCAGACTTTTATTCACAATTAGAACTTGTCAAGATGGTTTCGTTAAAACTAGTTCACCTTGGTAGTTCTTATGCAGGTTTATTTTACTCAAATTTCTCAGTTCTAAATAAACATAGATTATATTAATTTTTTCTAATTAGTCTATTAATATACGATATCGTTACAGAATTCTGTTATCATAAATTTTATTTTACTTCCAGTTTTGCGATTTAAAGTTACTTAATGAATTCCGTTAGTTATAACTCCCAAACATCAAGACAAACGGTAGTGTATCGTTCGACCAAAACAACCTGCAGGACACACTGTGTGTTATTAAAGCGATAGTTTAGGAATGTTTCACTTTCCGTAACTGGGGCTAATACAAAATATCATATATTTCTAGTATATGTGTTCTACTGGACCCTTACTTCATATACAAAATATCATATATTTCTAGTATATGTGTTCTACTGGACCCTTACTTCATATACAAAATATCATATATTTCTAGTATATGTGTTCTACTGGACCCTTACTTCATATACAAAATTTCAAAGCAATCCGTTGAGAAATGCACGAAATATAAAATCTCAAATTTGTATTGAATTTCTTCCTATTTTTTTTCTTTGATGGAAAAATATATTTATCATTACAACCTACAATTAATTGTCAAATTTGGTCTAAATATAAGCCACATATGCAAAGTTATTCAATACAAAACGGCTCAATTTTGATCAAACTTTGTGCGCATACTACGTAAAAAGTCACGTGAGCTATCTGTCTACAATTTTTACAACAGCTTCATCTGAGAGTAATGGTGGACCATTTTTAGTTTTTTTTGTCATTTGGATTAAAGACGGCTGATTTAGAGCAGCAAAACTATAGGGTGTAAGCACGTGCTGATACATAAGTATTGGTTAAGCCAAGCAAACTTGATTAGCAGTTTTTAGTTCAAGTCTTTAAAAGAATTTTAAGGATAAACGGTGTTACCCATGTCTAAATATTCTCAAATTTAGTTTCAAAAAGGCAATTAAAAAAGGTATGAGAATTCAATGGTGAAAATACATAGAATTGTATAAAATTCAGTTAAAAAGAAGTTTATCAAATACATAACCACAAGTCTGCAGGCTTACGACACTGAATATCGGGTTTCTGGGAAGAGCACAAATAATCCATAGTGTAGGTTTGTACTTAATAACAACAAAACCAAAAGACGCTTATCAAGTAAAAAAGGAATTTTCAAAAGAGTAAGTTATGATGGTACGCTTAGGATGGGAGAGTAGCTTCAATTATCAAGGATAAGTTTTCGGTAAACTAGGAAACCAGAAGAACATGTACTGAAGGCAAACTTGTTTGGTTTTCTTTAGTTCTGTATCCGTATTCATAAACGTATCTCTATAGAGTGTAATATAAGGTGATTATAAAGAAAGTTTCCCAGATGAGCGCATCACAAACGGTATGGCATAGAAATTAGTACTTTGTATTCATAAACGTATCTCTATAGAGTGTAATATAAGGTGATTATAAAGAAAGTTTCCCAGATGAGCGCATCACAAACGGTATGGCATAGAAATTACT